GGCAGAGTATTTGTTTTATAACCATACCACAGTTAGTATTTGTATCATTTCTTCTGAAAATAAAGGTTTACAACCAGGTTGTAAAATTTTCTAGGGATTCACACTTTAGCTTAACTGGAAAATGTGGTTATTTCATAAAATAATTCTGAAATGGTTTTTGGACATTTTTATTAAAGTAAAAAGGAAAAAAAAAAAAAACTTTAGATTGACCAAACTCTGCTCTTTGTCTCATTATCTTTTAAAATAGGAACTATCCCTTGAATTGATAGACTTACTCCCTTAACAACTGCTTATTGGACATGTTCATACATGCCAGGTGCTGTCTCTCTAGAGACTGTAATAAACAAAGACATATAATAAACAAAGCTGCTTGCCATCTTATACTACACCTAAATCCATTAGTGCATTGTTTTTTCAGTTGATGCTGGTTTCCATCTATAGTGCTAGTCACTACCTTTAATTGAGGGGAATTTTGGAATGTGTGCATTGGAGTTTTAGGCCAGCAGCAGCATGGTTCTGACTAAACAGTGTGGAAGACGTACATTTGAGTGAAGAGCTGGTGCTGTCCTGGGCGAGGATTCCAGAAGTCTGTGGGCTTGGCATGGATCATCTAAGCCTGACCAATTGGTTGTATGACCTGGACCTTCACAATGCTCTGAGGATCCTACACATGTTCCAAGGATGCATTAGCATCCAGGGCCACCACCAACCCAGATGTAAATTGCAAAGGGTTGTTTGATTTACCCATTGGCTCAGTGATGGTGCCTGAGACTTTGTGGACCTGCTCTGGAAGGGTGAGGCGTGGGGAAGTACTCTGCTGCACCATGATCTATAGAATGTGACCCTTTCTCCAGGTTTAGATGTCAAATTAATTTTTTTAAAAAGTGATCCAATGTGTTGTATTGAAGCAATTTCATTTTCCTCAATTAACAGAATTTGGGACATATGGTCTCTGACTTGGTCAGTGTCTCCACAGGATCTGTTCTCCAGCTTTCTAGACATCCTCTTTGTGGACATCTCACTTTCCCAGACAGGTTTTTCTGGAGAAAGACTTGATAAAAGGATGTTAAACAAATGTCTATGACTCTGGACCATGTAGTGTCCCCTTGTTCTGTTTGAACAACAGCCTCCTTGTCAAGGTACAGATTCCTCATGAGTACAATCAAGTGCTCGGAAATTGTTATCCGTAATTTGTCATGATCCACACAGTCAAATGCCTTTGCATAGGCACTACATAGTTTAAAATCAAGAAGGGAATGCATCAGAGTTGTATCCTTTCTCCACACTTATTCAATCTATATGCTGGGCAAATAATCCGAGAAGCTGGACTATATGAAGAAAAACGTGGTATCAGGATTGGAGGAAGAATCATTAACAACCTGAGATATGCAGATGATAC